CGGGCCTACGGGGGGGGCCCAAAAAGGGGGTTTTCCCCAAGGGGTACGGAAAAAATGGGCCAACCCGGCCCCCTTTTGTTTTTCCCCCTGGGAAAAGGGGGACCCCGCAAAAGTTTTTTCCCCCGGGGAAAAAAACCCGAACCAAAAGGAGGGGGGTTGGGTCCATCCCCTTAGGCATTTTTTTGGCCCCCCCCCCCCCCCCCCTCCCCCTTCTTCGTGCCCTTCAGGCACGAAAACGCCAATCTGTTACAACTCCTAGCGCGCGGCCAAACCACTACCCCTTCTCCCCGTAACCAATCCCATTCGTGTGTGGTGAACTGGTTAAAATCGCAATGACATGCAGCAGCCCAGCACGCCATTCATTATTTTACCGATATTCAGGTACAGCAATATGTGTGATTGGGTGGAAATGATTACACGGGGCCCCGATGTTGGTACGCCCTTGGAGCCCAGGGGCTGGGACGCTGGGACGGCGTAAGACGAATATGTCAGGCCGCCAACCCATGAACTGTTTTCGTCAGCTACACCAGCTCACCCGACCATCTCGAAGCGCCATCTTTGCCCGACCTGCCAAATGCACCTACCGTTCAAACGCGAAAACCGGAGGGTTGCGTCTGTAGCAGCTACACGCGTCCTGAAACAACCTCAACCGTCCTACAACTACAACAATACTCAAGGCAGCTTGTCTGTCTCTGCATTAGCTAAAAAAGGTACCGTGTGCAGTGCAACAAGCCCCGGCTCCCTAGAGGTGAAACACTGCGCCAATTGTCGCCCCGGTTCCGCTCTCTTTCCACGCCGTCTACAGCCCAATCGCAGCGGCGGAAGCAGCGACGACAGCAGCGGCCAGTGCGGCACCGGGGGCCCCGTACATGGAAGAAAGGGGCCCGATGGACGGCGCGGCGGCGGACACCGTAACTACCGCTGCCGTCGAGCAAGGCATGTCCTCTAGAGAGCAACCGACGTCTGCGAGCGTGCACGTCCTGACGTAACAAAACGGACAAAAGACAGGAGGCGTTACTAACGGGGGGGGTGGGATGTGCGTGAAGATCGGGTGGGGGGTGGGGGGTGGGGGTGCTAGATGGCCCGTCCGTGATAGACGTGGGCCTCGCATCCTCGCATGTGTCTATATAACCTTCTCGAGCGCCTTAAAACAAGCAAAAGATATGGCAAAATGTCAAGGGAGGTGGAGCAAGATACTACTAAATACAACGTCTCCAGGCTCGGGCGCCAGGCGCCCTCGCCTTAGCTCAGTATTACGCTGAAAGGAAAGGGTGGTGGGTGAAGACTGTGAACAGCATACCAAGGGCACGAGGCTGGAAAAGACGTTCACCTGTATATGGTACTGCTGTAGTGTAGAGGCTACAGCAGCACCTTCTACCAGAGCATGTCGTTGGCAGTAATACAAAAGGGGAGATGTCCCTATATGCTGTCTGGGAAATCGTAGACATACAGGTACTTTCTGACGCTATGAATCCATTGCTAATCTGTCTCAGACTCTTTTCTATGATAGAGATGGTTTCGTTGTGTCATATTATGAAAAGAAAAAAAAAAAAAACTTGCAGTTCACGATGTGCATGCAATGCATGTCATGTCCGAAAACTCCAAGCACAAGCGAAATTATTTTAGATAAAAAAGCTGTGGCGTACAGCAACAAACAAACAACAAAAAAACAACCCCTGTCCAACTTCCTTCCTACAGCAGCAGACCTACCTGTCTATTGTGCAACCTTGCCTCAGACTATGTATTATGCAGACCAACAAAGAATTCCACGAAAAGGTCACGCTTCCACGCTCTACACCGACTAACTTCTGACTAACTTCCAGGAAATATTCCACTAAATGCTTGTGGTATCCACGAAATGTGCATACATAGTGGTATGACGTCGAAAACTTGAACTACTTGTATATATCTACCGTTCACGTGGGAAAGACAGGCAGGGGTATTATGTATACTTGTAGTGGCACACTGCACAACAAACGTACGTTAACTCTCTACCGTTCGCCTGTACACGGTAGTAGAGTGTAAGGCTACGGCAGCATCTTCAATGAAGGAATAATAAACACACACACAGAAATACCGCATGCCTTTGA